CTGCAACTTCGCCCTTGAAGCACCCATGCGGATGGCCCTGCAGCAGCAGCTGCTGCTGCAGCAAAAGCTGCAGCAGCACAGCGAGGCGCTGCTTAATGCGTTGCTGCCTACGGCAGAGGAGGCAGCAGCAGCAGCAGAAGCAGCAGCAGCAGCAGCAGCAGCAGTTGGCAGCAAGCTTGACCTGCTTACAAACTTAACGAAAAACCAGCAGATAAGAAAGGATATCTGCAGCAGCAAAGCAGCAGCACATCAGCTCTCTCTGCTGCTGCATGCGTTGACCAGCAGCAGCAGCAGCAACAAGCAGCAGCAGCGCAGCACAGGAAAGCAGGGAGCAGCAACAGCAGCAGCAGCTCGGTTGCCGCTGCTGCTGCTGCAGTTCATGGCGCCGGGGCACCAAAGGCTGCTGCTGCTGAACCAGTTGTTTGGTTTGCTGCTAAACCTCAGCACAGATGCTGCTGCTGCTGCTGCTGCCGCTGCTGCTGCACCAGCAGCAGCAGCTGCTGCTGTCTCGTTTGTGAATGGCTTGTGTCTCTCTGATGTCGCTCTTGCTGCTGCTGCTGCTGTTGCAGCTACGCAGACGATAGCAGCAGCAGCAAAAGCCAACGTGGACTGCAGTGCAGCAGCAGCAGCAGCAGCTCCGCAGCTTCTCGCGCGTTCTCTCGCTGTTGCAGTTCGCATGCTCCAGCAGCAGCAGCAGCAGCAGCAGCAGCAAGTGAAATCAGTACAAGACTTTTCTGCTGCTGTCCTGCAGGTTGAAGCAGCAGCAATAGCAGTCTTGAGAGACGCTGTGAAGTGTGGCTGTTGGAGTGCAGCAGCAGCTGCTGCAATTCGATTGCTTTCCGTCTCAGCCCAGCAGCAGCAGCTGCTGCAGAGAGCAGCAGCAGCAGCAGCAGCAGCAGCAAACGCTGCAGCAGAAGCTGGCGGTGCAGCAGCAGTCTCATCTAAACCTGCTGCACCGACGGAGCCTCAGCTGCTGCTCGCCGACCTGCTGCCGCTGCTGCAGCGCCTCTTGCTGCTGCTTATTTCAAAGGGGCGCAGCGCAACAGCAGCAACAGCAGCAGCAGCAGCAGCAGCAGCAGGGGAGGCCGAATCCTCAGCAGATATCTTCAGCTCTTTAGGCAATGCTCTGGTGCTGCTGACATGTATATTGCGTGCTGCGCAGCAGCAGCAGCAGAAGCAGCAGCAACAGCAGCAGCAAGAACAGCAGGAGGGTAGCGGGTTGGCGCCTTTGCTGCAGGCAGCAGCAGAAGCTCTAGATTTTGAGCAGCAGCAGCAGGTGCAGCGCAACGCAGCGATCTGCATTGCAACAGCGGTGCAGCAGTCTGAGGTGTATAGGCAGCTCTTGTGGCGTCAGCCCCTCATCAGCAAAGTAATGTCTTGTGCAAAGCACGGGTTCTCCTCAAGATCTGCATAGATGGCTAGCTAGCTAGCCATCGCTAGCTAGCTAGCTAGCTAGCTTGCTAGCTAGCTAGGTTGCTAGCTAGCTAGCTAGCTTGCTAGGCATGACAAGCTAGCTAGCTGGCTATCGATGGTTAGCTAGCTAGTTAGCTAGTTGGCTAGTTGGGTAGCTAGCCAGCTCTTGATGCGGCGGTTAGCTAGCTAGCTAATATTGACGCGATGATTAAATGTCTTGTTAGCTGCATAACTAGCTGGCTAACTGGATGGGTAGCTAGCTGTCTAGCTAGCTGCCTAGCTAGCTGTCTAGCTAGTTGTCTAGCTAGCTAGACAGCTAGGTGAGGTGGTTAGCTGGCTAGCTGGCTAGCTACCCAAACGCCTAGCTAGCCAGCAATGAACAGACACGATAACCAAGCCCTGCTAAGCTAGCCACCTTAGGAATACCCGCTAGCTAGCTAGCTGAGCTGGCTAGCTAGCTAGCTAGCTAGCTAGCTAGCTAGCTGCACTTGCTGGGCATATGAATACCAGTGTTTTATGAAGTGTTTTAACTCTCTATCTTTTTTATCAGAGAAGATGCATTATAATCTGTCTGTCTTATTTATTTATTTATTTAAGGGGATACAAAGGCTGAGTTCTACATAAATAAATATTTTAAAGAAAATATATTAATTGTCTCTTCTTATGAAAAGACACTGCAGGTAACCCTAAACCCTAAACCCTAAACCCTAAACCCTAAACCCTAGCTGGTGGTTAGCTGCAGAGAAAGAAAGTAAAGTCTCTGCTATTAATGAGGGGTATTAAGACAAGACAAAGACACAATAATAAGAAAAAATATTAAGTATATTCGGGTGTATAGGGAGCAGAAGCAGCGCATGCAGCTGATAAATAATAAATACAAACAAATGTATTAATAATAATATAACAAATTAATAAATAAAAGAAAAGAAGAAAAAATTAATAGAACATCTCATGCATGCGTTTGCATACATCTTGGGGCTTTCGCAGCATAACCTCTGCAGGGATAAAAATAAATAAAATAAATAAAATAATGATGAAATAACAATAAAAAAATAAATAAAATAAAATATATTTAATATATTTTTAAATATAATTGTTAAAGAAAAGCATTTACCTCAGACAGCGCTATTAACCTTCTTATTTTATTGCGATCATCTTCGCGTCTTTCTGTTCATTTTCTTCGTTTTGTTTGTTTATTTCTCGATTTTATTAATTCATATATTTAAATTTAATTTCTTTAAAACTCTTTTTCTTGATTTTCTCTTCTTAATACCCACCTCTCTCTTCTTCCTGAGCTGCCTAGACACCCCGTGCTGCTACAACCTTTCAGCTTCCTCTCCCCCCGCTGCTGCTGCTGCTGCTGCTGCTGCTCAATGGGTTCTTCAGGCGTACATACGTGGAATTTCTCTCTGCCGGGGGCCCCGGGGGCCCCGGGGGCCCCCTACGAGGGAGTTGAGTCGCCACCTGGTTTTGAGTTTGTTTCAGAAGGTTTACAGCTTGAGAAAGAGTATTTTGCGTCTCTTAGAGAGCAGCAGCAGCAGCAGCAGCAACAGCAGCAGCAACAGCAGCAGCGTGGTGTTGAAGGTCAATCTGTAGGTGGTGCTTCAGCTGGAGGGGGTTTAAGTTCTTCGTGTGTATCACCGTCTTCATCATCATCAGCAGCAGCAACAGCAGCAGCAGCAGCAGCAACAGCAGGAGCACCAACAGCAGCAGCAGCACAGCCTTCTCCTGAAGCTGTAGCATTGCTGCAGCGCAAGCTGTGGGAGGCAGCAATAGCCCCAGCGAAGTCTTTTCTTATGAATTTGTTTATGCTGTACATGGGCGGCAGCAGCGGGTTGTTCGGAGTACTAGTTGTAGTGTATGCATTACATTCATGCGTAAAGACATTATTAAGCATGCCGCTTCATTTTGATCAGTTTTCAAAGGTTAAAGAAATAAGGTTTGTTGCTGCAGCCAAGTGTATATACACCTCTATTTGTATTGCTTTCTTTCTTTATCTCTTCTACCATGCTTCAGACATCGGTGCATTACCTCTTAACTCGGGTGATTATATACAGCTTATACCGCAAACCCTTGTTTCTTCACGTGCAACACCAGCCAAACTCTACTAAACCCTAAACCCTAAACCCTCATACACTCCTGCTCCTTCTGCTGCTGCTTCTGCTTCTGCTGCAGCAGAAGCAGCAGCAGCAGCAGCAGCAGAAGCAGCCGCAGCAGAAGCAGAAGCAGCAAGATGCAAAATGCGTGAGGGTTTAGGGTTTTAGGGGTATAATTAAACCCAACAGTAAAACCCTCAAGGGTTTTCTTCTTGGGGTTTTGAGCCCTAAACCCTAAACCCTAAACCCTAAACCCTCGTGCGTTTCTTTAATGGATTAATTATTTATTAATAATATATTATTATATTTTTGTTTCTTTGTCGCTGTACGCTCCTTTAGTAGCTGGCGAGATGCCTTAGGGTTTAGGGTTTAGGGTTTTTATTTATTTATTCATTTTTTTTATTTATATTTATTTATTTATTCTTCTGCTGCATCTTCTCTTTCTTTGTTTGTCCCTCTGTCTCGCTCTTCTCTCTTTATTTGTCTCTCTGTCTCTTTCTTATAATATATATATATATATATACATATATATATATTATATATATATATATTCATCGCTTTCTCTCTCTCTCTCTCTATACATATATATATATATATATTTGTTTATAGCTGTAAATATCTTTATAAACATATATATATATATATATATTTATATATTATTATATATTTGTACATATTAAAATAATAATTAGAGTATTTATATTTATATTTATTTTATTATTATCTGCGTCATAAAATAAAAAAAATAAGCAGAAAAATGAGTCAGTGAATTCGGAGCCCCTTAGAACAATCGGCGGTTTAGGGTTTACGCTAGGGTTTAGGGTTTAGGGTTTAGGGTTTGCATTAGGGTTTAGGGTTTAGGGTTTAGGAAACCCCTCCTGTTAGACGGCAAAGCCAGGGATGGTTCAAAGCCTCTGCAGCAGTAATTCGCTCTTCAGGATCTTCAGCGCACATCTGAGCACCAACAAACCCTAAACCCTAAACCCTAAACCCCAAACCCTAATTCGTAAACCCCAAACCCTAAACCGTAAACCCTAAACCCTAAACCCTAAATCCCAAACCCTAAGCACTCAAACCGAAACCCTAAACCCTAAACCCCCTATTCTGGAGCGCGAATACTAAACCCTAATAAACCCCCTATTCTGGAGCGCGAATACTAAACCCTAAACCCTTAACCCTCAAACCCTAAACCCTAAACCCCGAAGTGTAAGCAATAAACCCCAAACCCTTTACCTCTGCACTGCTACTCTTGCAGTCTTAGGGTTTAGGGTTTAGGTAAGGGACGCATGATATATATAACTATATATATATATATATATTATTTACATTGTATAATATGTCTCAGATAGAGACAGACAGAGAGAGACAGAGAGAGACAGAGACAGGGAGAGACAGAGAGAGACAGAGACAGAGGCAGACATAGACAGATATATATATATATACATATATACATATATATTTAGAAAATAAACAAACAATTTACTATAAAAACGTATGCATATAAAGGGGACATCTTGGGGCTTTGTTTGCATGCACTGCATGCAGACCTTCTTAATCAAATCTTGTGCGTCTCCAGCGATATGCGGCTCAAACACAAACTGTAACCGCTGCTGCTGCTGCTGCTGCTGCTGCTGCTGTTGCTGCTGCTCCAGCTCCAGCTCCCGTTCCCATTGCTGCTGCCTCCCTTGCTGCTGCTGCTGCTGCTGCTGCTGCTGCTGCTGCTGCTGCTGCTGCTGCTGTGTGGGGTGACTTCCTTTTAGAGACTCCCAGAGACAGAGGCCGAGGCTGTAGATATCGGCCCCTCTGTCGTGGCTCTCCCCGTAAAACTCCGGGGCCAAATCTGCACACAAACCCTAAACCCTAAACCCTAAACCCTAAACCACAAACCCTAAACCCTAAACCACATACCCTAAACTGGAAATCCTAAGCCTTAAACCCTAAACTCTTAATCCTAAACAGCACAAACCCTAAACCGCAAAAAACCCTAGACCCTAAACCCTAAACCCTAAACCTTAAACCACAAACCCTAAACCACAAACCCTAAACTGCACATCCTAAGCCCTAAACCCTAAACTCTAAATCCTAAACAGCAAAAACCCTAAACCGCAAAAAACCCTAAACCACAAGCCCTAAACCCTAAACCCTAAACCCTAAACCCTAAACCCCAATCCTCACAAGATAGAGTGCCGCAGAAGGTCTGGCGTTTCTCTCGGCCCCCCACCGATGAACAAAACCCGAAATCCCCGAGGAGGGCTTTATAAGAAGCTGAAGACAACAACAACAAACAATTTGCTGCCTCCTTTTGTGTCTCTCACTTTGTCTCTCTGTCTCTTTATCTGTCTCTTTATCGGTCTGTCTATCTCTCTATCTCTTTATCTGTCTCTTTGTCTCTCTATCTTTTCATCTGTCTCTTTATCTGTCTCTTTATCTGTCTCTTTATCTGTCTCTTTATCTTTATCTGTCTCTTTATCTGTCTGTCTCTTTATCTGTCTCTTTGTCTGTCTCTTTATTTGTCTCATTGTTTGTCTCTTTATTTATTTGTCTGTCTTTCTCTGTGTTTTCGTCTGTCTCCTTTGCTGTCTCCTTATTTATTGACGGTTATATCGAAACCCTAAACCCTAAACCCTAAACTCAGGACGAAAACAGACAGTGTGCAGGAGCAGCAGCAGCAGCAGCTCCTGCTGCTGCTCCTGCTGCTGCTTTTGCTGCTTCTGCTACTGCCTCTGCTGCTACTGCTACTGCCATTGCTTCTCCTGCTGCTGCTGCTGCTGCTGCTGCTGCTGCTGCAAGAGGTGCTTCGAGCAGACCAGAGGGGCCGTCGCTGTGCAGGAAGATATTCTCAGGCTTGACATCTGCACGCACAAACCCTAAACCCTAAACCCTAAACCCTAAACCCTAAACCCTAGACACTCGATCCTTGCCCTTGTCCAACACTCCCACAGAAGGCTTCAGTAGGGTTTAGGGCCTGCCCGCATTAGGGTTTAGGGTTTAGGGTTTATTACCGCGGTGTATGATGTTATTAGCGTGAAGATGAGCCAAGGCGGAGATAATCTGTTTTATATACTGCAGGACCCGAACAAAACCCTAAACCCTAAACCCTAAACCACAACCTTTGCACGCACAGGTTTGCCGCTGCTGCTGCTGCTGTTGCTGTTGTTGGTGCTGCTGCTATGATGCTGCTGGTGCTGTGATACAGTAATACTGCTGCTGCTCCTGCTGCTGTGGTGGTGATGGTGCAGCAGCAGCAGCAGCAGCAGCAGCAGCAGCTAAAAAGCCTCACAGTAGCAGCTTCTTCTTCGCTTAATGGGCCTCCGGCGTCTCTGCATAAAAGATAGAAAAAGAGATAAAAAGACAGAGAAGGTTTATTACTTATTTTGTTGCCTCTGGCTCTGCTCATATAACCCCTAAACCCTAAACCCTAAACCCTAAACCCTAAACCCTAAACCCTCACCTCAAGCGGTGTCTCAGCGTTCCTCTATTTGCATACTGGAGAACAAACACTAAATTGTCTTCGTCTTCAAAAGACCCCAAAAAGCGAATGATATTCGGGTGTCTGTACACCTCAGCAACACCCTAAACCCTAAACCCTAAACCCTAAACCCTAAACCCTGAAGTCTAAATCTGGAATAAAGAGCAGCAACCGCCGGTTTGTTCAATGAGGGTTTACGGTGTGAAGGGATATTAGGGTTTAGGGTTTAAGGATGGATTAGGGTGTAGGGTTAGGATACGAATTAGGGTTTAGGGTTTGGAGACAAATTAGGGTTTAGGGTTTGTGAGGACCTGATGGCTGCGTGTATAGCCCTTTCTCTTCGTATTTGTTTTTTCATCCCAAGAGAAGAGACGACAGATTTACGCAATATTTTAAGAGAGACATAAGCTTTATCTAAACCCTCTTCTTGAAGCAGCTGCTCTTGAAGGGGCCCCGCAACGCACCGAGCCAGCACCACTTCGCTCGTGCTGCAGCAGCAGCAGCAGCAGCAACAGCAGCAGCAACAGCAACAACAGTAATGGTAGCAGCAGCGGTTGGACTCCCACAGCAGCAGCAGAAGCAGCAGAAGCACAAACAGCAATCTCTCGCCCCAGCTGTCTCTGTCTCTTCATTGTCTGTCTGTCTGCCTGTCTGTCTCTCTCTCTCTCTCTCTCTCTCTCTGTCTCTCTCTTTATTAATCTCTCTCTCTCTCTCTCTCTCTCTCTCTCTCTCTCTCTCTCTCTCT